ATGCTACCCCGATGAATATAAAAGTGGTTGCTGCAGAATGTACGGGTAAATGGGAATGAATGCATCGCTCTTTCAAAGACCCAGAACAGACAAAACACACTAAATAGCCACTGTTCTGTAAGGTTGTATGCTTTTATCCATCCCCATCTCTCTCCTCATCGCCCAGCTGCACTTTCTGGCCCCTCTCCTGTCCGATGTCATCAACCTCTCCTTGTCAGTTCCAACCCCCCTGAAAACAGCCGTCATCAGCCCCATCCTAAAAAAACTTCCCCGGACCCATCCCTCCTCTCCAGCTACCGCCCCATCTCTAACCTCCCATTCCTCTCCAAGGTCCTGGAATGAGTTGTCGCGTCCCAGCTCTGCTCCTTTTTTCTCGCCATTCCCTCTTTGAACCTCTCCAATCCACACTACCTACAGCATGGAAACAGCCCTGGTCAAAGTCACTGATGACATTCGGAACATTGGTGATCAGGGCTCCCTCTGCCTCCTTGTCTTCCTCGACGTCTCTGCTGCCTTCGACACTGTCGACCACTCCATCCTCATACACCGCCTCTCCTCTTTACTAAATCCAAGTTGTTGTTGTTAATCTTCGCGGACCTGCTCTTGCCTGGTTCGATTCCTATCTCTCTCACTGTCTCCACTTTGTTGCCTCTCATGGTTTCTCCTCCAGCCCCCGCACTGTCACATCTGGCATCCCTCCTGACTGGCTCATGTCAGCACCTCAGGCTCTGGCAACATCAACCTCCATGGTTGCACACTACAACTCACCAGCCAGTCAGGAACCTGGGTGTCTTGTTCGACCCTCAACTGTCTTTTCTTCCCCACATCCAAGCCATGACCCGCTCTGCCTTCCCTCACCTCTGTAACTTCACCCGACTCAGCCACTACTTCACCCCTCAGGCCGCTGAAGCTCTTGTTCATGCCTTCATCACCTCCAGGCTCGACTATGAAAATGCCCTGCTTGTCGGCCTTCCCAACTCCTCCCTCCACAGGCTGCAGATAATCCAGAACGCTGCAGCCCGTGTCCTCTCCTGCACCAATCTCCGTGACCCCATCTCCCCTATTCTCGCCTGACTCCATTGGCTCTCTGTCCTTCAGAGGATCCAGTTCAAGATCCTGGTCCTCACCTACAAAGCCCTTCATGGCCTCGCCCCACCCTACCTCTGTGACCTCCTAACTCCCTACCATTGTGCCCGTTCCCTCCACTCAGCCGGCTCCGACCTGTTCCATATCCCCCGACCCACCCGCTCCACCATTGGCGGGAGAGCCTTCAGCCACTCTGCCCCCAACCTCTGGAATTCCATCCCCCATTCACTCCGTCTCGCCCCCTCCTTAGCCTCCTTCAAGTGCCGCCTCAACACCCTCCTCTTCGACCATACCTTTGGCTGCACCCCTTCCCCTCCCTTCCCTTCTCCCACCCTGACCCAAGTTCTGGTCTGAAATGTTTACACTGTCCAGCGCCTTGGGATATCCTCCCGACGTGAAAGGCACTATACAAATACAATCTTGTTGTTGTTGGAATATTGTGTAAAGGAATGTCGGGTCCAAATATGATTATACATCAGACAATCCAAAAGAAAATTAGAGGTAAAAAGGGAGAATAAAAAACTTTAAGGAGAGTATGAAAAGCACAGAGAGTCACCATAAACAGTTACTGCAAGTTTTTTTTATATAAATCCATAAAAGCAGTAATTAAGAAAGGGTGAGAATCCTTAGTGGTTGATCTTTTAGTGAAGAATTAAAAGAATCAAAGTAGCTCATTTTGTTTTTTACAGGCATAAGTTAAAGTGAGTTTGAAGGAATACTGCAAGTGACATGAATGAGAACCTACTAGAGCTAAATATTAAAAGGTTAATGGCATGTCCGAGCGTTCATGGTGCTTGTGGGCTTTCTGTGGTAGAGTTTTTGGACCATTATGATGTAAAACAAGCCCTACAAACTGTGTGGTCACCAGCAACAGATAGAAAAATTAAAATCCTGTGGCATTTGTAAAACTTTGCAACATTAAACGTTTCAACATTTACTTTCCGTTTACCTGCAGAATCGGAAATATGAATGAAAAACAACAAGAACACAAAGGATAAGAACATATGAGTTCTTAAGTGCTTCAATGTGCATTCATTTAATCCCTCAATAAACTATTTGCTAGATGCCCTGAAATTACTCTGATTGTATCTCAGACCATATAGCTTCTGGAGTCATAAGTGCTCCCAGCCATTTGATTGTGTAAAGATTTCCTACAGCATCAGATTGAAATGTATCACTCCTCATCTTCCATAAACCCTGGTTGTGACTGTATCAATGTTTCAAGCCTGGGATTCATTGGAAAAAATGAAAAATAGCCAATTTGTTATTGATTCCAGGTGTTAGATCTTCCAATGTAAATATTATTGATGTTTTACCCAAAAAGCAGCTCCATAAAGGTGTTACATTTTCAATTTGCTCAGATGCCAAACTCAGTTCTAACTTCTGTAATGTCAAATTGCATGTGGATCTTCAGAGGATGGGTCCTGACCCGTCTGAGATTCGCTGTTCATAACTCCTGTGTTAGTCATGCAATTTAGACCTCAAGATTGAAACAATAAAACTATCCAAATAAAAGAAGTAGCTTTATCGCTATAATATTACACAAGTGCAAGAAACCTCAGGGATATGAAAAAAAACATTTCTCTCATATCACAGCATCCAATTAAATTTTGAATAAATTTTACTACATTGCTTGATAGATTATTCCAAACAATTGCCATTGATTGACTAAAAAAATATTTTCCTGATATCTGTTCTAAATGTACTTTTCATTAATTTCCATTAGCATACTTTAAGCATTCTTTCTTGACTTAGTCTAGATTCACTTTATCTGGACCAGTAATATTTTAGATAATTCAATGAAGTTTTCCTTCTTCCTTTTACTGCCTTCATTCTGGACTATAACGATTAAGATCATTGTTTTTTCCTTATAGATCATTGCTCTTAGAAATGTCTTATTTTCTGTACCTCATCTTATGGAACTACAGAGTGTGATTTTGTGCTAAGATACCCCAGATTGACCTCCCAGTTCAAATTTGGTCTGACCACGGCATTTAAATGATCAGCCAAAGTGTTTCACACATGTGGAAACCCTGGACCATTGTTTAAAAGTATACGAAGCATGTGAGTTTCCACATGTGCACAGGAATTCCTTTTACTTGGAATGGAGTACACACTCTTTCCTCGAGGAACAATTGCTAACAACCTTGCTAACCTAATCCCGGAAAGTATTAGGCACAGATTGCCAGGAGACTTGAGGACTGCAGAGTATGCAATGGGTTAAGAGTTTAACCAGCAAAAAGAAGTGCAACTTGTCACTGAGAACCAGTACATCTGAATAACAGATATGAGTTTGCAATTTAGAGCTCCTGTGCTGATATTTGTGAAGACACACAACTTACATTACTCTGCTTCTGGGTTAGTGTTACAGAGAACAGAGTGTTGTGTGAAAAGATGGGGTGAAACATGTGATGGTTCACAACAGAAACAATGTGACTATCACACTGAATCCTTTATGAAATCACATTTTTTCATGCAGTCCTAAAGCCTGGGCATGATTCAAAACAACCCCTTGACTTTGGTTCAATGGTTTGGCCCAAAGCTCAATTCAGCATCTTTCAGACCTTAAAACAAGCCTTTTCCCCTCCCGCGGCCCCTGCCCCCCTTCTGCCCCCACCCCGACCCAGTCTGTAGATGACGGGTCCAGTTCTGTTCCCAATCACATCGCCTTTTGAGTGACGTTAAAGAGGATACCAACTGAACTGAATAGGATTCCTGTGAATCAGCACTAAAATACTGCCACGGCTAAAAAGTAACTTTGATACGTGCTGAAATGTTTTAAAATTGAGCTTTCGACCAAACCATTTTGTTGAAAGTGGAGGGTGGGGGTAGTTGTAGAGCCAGTCTTTATCATTACAGTAAAAAAAACTAATGTTTCAGTAGCTACTGTTTCATCTGCATCACCTTGTGTCACCAAGCTGAAAACATGCAGAACCAATTGCTCAACATATGATAAGGAATGTGCCTAGAACCTGTCAATTGACTCTGTACTATATGTGGGGCAATTGGTTGTTCTACATTGCATTGGGATGTGTTGTCTGTGGCTGGTTCATACACTTACTACTATCTAATGTGTCTTAATAGCCGTCAGTGGAAAAAGAAATTTTAGTTCATAGAACCAGTTTAACTGGCACTGTGTAATAGTTAGTGTCAAAGTATGTCTCTACTAACAATAATGAAGAATATTTAGCTTGTTTATGGTGGAATTATAAGCCTGATTAAAACACTTGACTTCACCCATAAAATACACAGTAACACTACTTTGCAGTATATCCTGTGAAGTACTTTGAGACTTCTCAGCAATATGCTAAGGAGCTAAATCAAATGCAAGGATTACTATTATTGTTAGTTCTATAATCTGCTCCCAACCTTGGTATGATATTTGCCAGATGTTTAATTCTAACATTATGCTTTAAAACATCTAGAAGACGTGATAAGACACTATATCAAATGCAAGAATTATTATTATTATAATTATTATATACTTTATCCACATTGACACACGGTGTTTCTTGGGAGGGATTGTTGACGTAAGAGTATTTTAAGATATGTGGTTTTATTAAGAGCAAATGGATACTTTAATACTTTAGCTGTGTCACCTCTGATCATTTTAATAAATTAACAATAACAGAGACACATTGCAGTCTAATAACATTGTAAAACCTTCTTGTATCATCAATGAAACATAGCTGTTTAGAAGGTATTGCTGTTCTTAAATTAGCTGACATGTTCACCTACAAATTACATTGTTATACACTTTACAACAATTCCTGTGAAATGTATTGAGATATCCTCCTGACGAGAAAAGGGCTACATCACACGCAAGGATTATTATTATAACATACCTGTATACGTTAACTTCAGCCATTTTGAATTATAATATGCATTTTTAATTGGTACAATTTTAAATTCAGATTGGGACAATCTGATTCATTGGAAGATGAAGCAAAGAACAATATCACCATCTTCACCAGAATTCTCGACAGACTCCTGGATGGCTATGACAACCGCCTGAGACCAGGATTAGGAGGTCAGTGATTATCAAGTGTTTTCTCTTTTTAATTTGGAAACTCACATGATATTCTGAACAAAATGCAAATGTCTACTCGATAAATGGAAGCCATGAAGAAAAGGATGAACATAATTCTAATCGATAAGACCTGTTGTTGAATTACATGGGTTAATGTCCAGTATGTTAGCTGGACCCATAGAACTTTGTAGCACAGAGCTATCCATTCTTTTGACAGAGCTATCCATTCAATCTAATTTACCTGCTTTTTCCCCAAACCCCTGCAAATTACTCCTTTTTAGATACGTATTGAGTCAACTCTTAAAATTAATATAGATGCTGCCTCAATATTGCATACAGCAGGATATTCATGTGTCAGCCTGGCTCAGTGGTAATTCTCTCCTTTGAGTCAGAAGGTTTCTGGCTTCAAATTGTATGTTGGGACATGAACTCAGATAGTCTAAGATGACCCTCCAATGCAGTGCTGAGGATGTGCATTGTCGGAGGTGACGTCCTTCAGATGAGACATTAAAACCGAGATGCTGTCTGCCTATTCAGATGGATGTTAAAGGTCCCGTGGCACTATTCGAAGAGAGAATTGAGTTTCTCCCAGTGTCCTGGCCAACAATCCCCCAAATAAAACTGGTCATTCATTTCACGGCTGTTTGTGGGACATTGCTGTGCCAAATTGGCTGGTGAATTCCCCTACAAAGACACAGTCACTTCACTTCACAGTTAAATCTGTGAAGAGCTATAGGACATCCTCCCAATGTGAAAGGTGCAATACTAAATGCAAGAATCATTATTATTATATATTCTAATAACTCTGTGTAAAACAAAATCTGCTTAATCATCCTCCTTTGCACCCTTCTCAATTAATTTAAATTGCTGCCATCCAGTCAATGACTCCTCACTGACCAAGGGGAATAATGTGTCCCTATTCATTCTATCAAAACCGCTCCTTATTTTAAAAGCTCTAACAGATCTCATCACAATTTTCTCTGCTCCAATGAAAATGGGCCCAGTTTGTTTGGTCTGTGCTCACAGGTCCAGTAAATCATCTCTGGGATAATCTCCTTAGTACCCTGGGAGTCCTGCAGGGTATTGTTTAGAGCAATTGTCTCGCAACCTGGGCTTGATTCCTGGTTGTTAGTCAATTGGCAGATCGCTTTCTGGGGGGAATAATCCATTTAAAAAATATATAATAATTTGGTTACTCAATCCACGCTGGTTTGTGGAACTTTGCTGTACATAATTAGCTGTTGAGCAAAATATACAGTCCACTTTACAGTATTTTCTGTGAAGACCTTTGAGATGTCTCGACAACGTGATAAGGCACTATATCAAATGCAAGGATTATTATTATTGTTAACATCTTTCTTAAAGTTCGGTGACAAAACTTGACACAATATATTTAAACTTCCGGCTAAGTCTAATTACAATACCGGTACTGACGCTCAAATTGTTTGAATCCCGTGAGCAGAAGTTAGTGAATAAGCTATTTTCTGTTCATGGAATTCAAACGATCTGAGTCAAAGTCAATATCCCTGGCCACTGTGAAGGCCAACAAGGATGGTGAGGCTGCTCAGTTGGTACACGTTATGAAAGTTAGGATAGGAGAGATAGGGAGTCTACAACAACAACAACTTGTATTTATATAGCTCCTTCCATGTTGGCTGCGTCAGAGCACTTAACAATGATGGAACCTGATGCTGAGCTGGGGAGGTGGAAGGTGACCATAGACACGGTCGAAAAGGAAGGCCATCAGGTGCTACCTGAAAAGAGGAGGCAAGGGGAAGGGATTGAGGGAAGGCGTCCCATAGCTCGGGGCGGAGTGGCTGAAGGCATGGCTGGCGATGGTGGAGCAGAGGATTCGAGGGACATGGAGGAGCTGGAGCCACTAGAGTGGAGACAGCAGGTAGTGCTGTGAGGAGAGATGAGTATGGAGAGATAGAAACAGTCTACACGTGGACCTGCAAACATTTTTGGTCTTCAGATTTTTTAAAAAATTAGGTTTTGGGCCTGGCCTGGCTAGGTTAGAATTCCGGATACCTGGAACCCGTTATGCTAACTATGGTGAAAGGTGCTATTCATATGTAATTTTGTTGTTGTTGTCTAACTAACGATTTATACAGGTTAAACATCACACCAACAAAATTACATTTGTATAGCCCATTCATGTTGGGAGGAAGACCCAAGGTGCTTGGACGTCACCTCTAAATAAATAATAATAAATAATAAATGTTCACCCACAAAATACACTACTTAAAAAATATGCCGTGAAGTGCTTTGAGATAACCTCCTCACGAGAAAGGTGCTATATCAAATGCAAGGGAAATGATAATTACTGTGGCAGTAAAGTTCCGATAATGATTAATATGACACAACAGGCAAATGGGAAAACCATGTTTATTATCTGAGCACAAAAAAAAAACTCAGCACTCAAAGTATATTTTGGCCTGGAGACCAAAGACAATAGAAACAGAAATGTATAGCACAGAAGGCCATTTGACCCATCATTTCTGTGGTGACTCTTATAAAGAACAATTCTCTAAGTCCCATTTACCTTCCTTTTTTCCATATCCATATCCTCTTCTCCACCATCTCCTCTGCCCTCCAGCCTATGCTCCTTTCATCCTCCAACTTCAAATACTAGGACTTCAAGTACCTCTTTAGATCCGAAATTGAGCAGGATCTGCTCAGCTGCCTCTTTCTCCATTACACCCTCCCCATCTATCATTTTATCTTTCTTCAATATTTCTCTTCTCCATAATTCTGTACTCTCCTTGTTGTACTCTTAACTATCCCAGAGTCTTCACTTCATCTCTTCAGATGGATTTCCTCCTGCATCGCATAGTGACTCGAAACATTCTTCAGGGCTTTATCCTCAATCTTCTCCTATTCATTCCCCCTTGGTTATATCATCCGTAAGTGTGGGATCCATTTCCACATGTGATATAGATGAACCTAACTTCATCTCTCTCCCTCTACTCTCGACCACTGCTGTTCTGACCGATTGCCTGTCAGACATTAAGTCCTTGATGAGTTCTACCTTTCTTCAGCTGAATGTCAGCAAGATTGAAGTTCTCCTGCTTGACTCCTGTCAACATCATCACACCCCAGCCACTCACTGCATCGATCTGCACAGATACACACTCCATCTCATGGAGCCAATGTGAAATCTCAATATCGTTTTTGACCCTTACTGACCTTTAAGTCCTACATCTGGGCTCTCCCTTGCTCTGCTTTCCCTCACCTTTGCAACATTGGTTGCTCTCCCGGTTTGCCGAGACCCTTGTACATGTCTTCATTATGTCCAGGCTTGACTATTTGAATGCTTTGCTCGCTTGACACCTAAGCTCCTCCATACACAAGCTCCAGTCCCCCCCAGAGCCGAGCAAAGGAATATCAGTTGTCAAAGAGACGAGGGTTTTTTAAAAAAAAAAGTTATACATAGAATTATTTGGACTATATAGCATAGAAACAATTAGTTCGATTCACCTAGTCCATGCTAGTGTTTGTACTCTACATGATCCTCCACACTTCCCCATTCCTTCTCCCATTCTCCTCAGTTCCCCTTCTCCCTCATGTGTGCTGGAGGCACCATTGAGATGCCAAGGCTTGAAATGGTAACATACACATAGCTGATTTTTTTTACCGATATGATCTTTACTGATATGAAGAAGATTTGACACATGATCAACGTGCTCATATTTTCACATCCTAAAATACTTGCAGCACAGATATACACATGGCTAACTACAACAGTTTTTGTGTGGAATGATACATTAGACCTGCCATTATCATATAAACTACAAAAGAAATTAGCATTTGGCATCATTTACAGAAAATGATCATTATGCTCGTACTAAAGATGTTTATGGATTTTATTTCTTATAACCTTCTGCAATATTATTAGGAATACTTGAAATTAGGAAAGGAATGCTTACATTTGTTTCAATCAGTTACATTTAAATGATTTAAACTGTTTAGTAAAAATTAAAATATATTGCAGTCCAAATTCAGCATATTTAATTTCCATTTATGGGTTTAAAAATGAATTACTTTTTTTACCAATATAATTTATTGCGAACATAGGAAATGGTTCATAACTTAGTACCTTGCATATTTTCTTAAAGTGAAACTGGTCATCATCTTGAAAATATCTTTGGAAGGGGTGAGTTAAAATTACTGGACATTAATGGTTGAGTAAAGTAAACCTCAGTGGTTTTCTATTCTCTATTAAGCTGATTCTTTTTTTAAATGGAATTGTTTAGTTTAATTTAAAATATCCTTGCATAATATAGAGCAATGCGAAACCTTAGGCAAGTTTGCTTACTCCACACACTCTGTTTACCTAGCGGTAAGTAGGAACCCGAGTATTAGTCGATTGACGGATCTCAAACTGGGAGTAATAATCTCACAAGAAAAAATTGGTTACTCAATCCATGGCTATTTGTGGGATATTGCTGTGCATAATTGGCTGCCACTAAATAATTTCACCCCAAAATACCAGGTCAATTCACTTTACAGTATATTCTGTGAAGCGCTTTGAGTCGTCTCAACGACGTGATAAGGCGCTACATCAAATGCAAGGATTATTATGTTGTATGGTGTGCTAATTGTTGAAAAATAGCAATAGAGAAAGTCCATCTGAAGACCTTCTTCTTTGACCATGCCTTCAGTCATCTTCCCACCTTCCACCCCATTTGTCCCCACCCCTCCACTCCCAAATCTAACTCCCAGCATCTTGGGATGTCATCGCGATCTGTAAGGTGGTATATAAATGCACGTTATTGTTGTTGCTGTTGAAAAAAACAATCAGTCAATGTGTTAACTGGATAGCTGCTCCATGGGTTTGCTGGAGACAGGCACTTTCATAACAGCATCAACAATTTACATTTCTAAAGCACCTTTCACAGCTGAAGCACACCTCAAAGCACATTACACAGCTGATTGGAATCTTGAATGGGGGCGTGGGAGAAGCTGAGGAATAGAGAAGAAAGGTGCCCAAAGGTACG